AAAAAAAAAGAATGTCTAATGTAAATATCTTCTGGGAGTAATCCCACTGGGTGCATCTACACATGCAATCAGCACGTAGCAATAAACTCTGGTGCAATTCACACCAGTTTATTGTTCCCACGCACAATGTTTACACATGCTCCCAGGACCGCAGAACATTGAGCTAGGGTGGGGTAGCCCCAGCTGGCAGGGCAGCCGGGGAGGGAAGAGGGGGTCAGCCTGCCAGACCAGGACTGCTCTGCCCTAGCTCAACATGCTGCAGATGGGCTGGCTGGGGCACAAGGGTGCTACAGTGTGGGGTTGGCTGGCAGGCAGTTCCCGCAGTATAGCATCCTCATACTCCAGCCAGCCCCAGTGCATTTCAGCAGGCATAACTACTCTGCTATAGGATACTATTTGTCCTGGACAGTACTACCTTACAGTGGAGTTAATTAATTTACTGCCCTCTAATAGGGGCACATGTGTAGATGGTGAAATTTTATTGTGGAGCTAATTAGTCAGCTCTTCAGCAAAGTGTGTGTGTAGATGTACCCACTGAGTTCAAAGGAGTCATTTCTACTTTACACCAGAGTGAAAAGAATCACAGTATAACCATCAAGAGCATAGTCTTAAATCCTCTGTGTTAAATGAAGAATCTGAAAATAAGTATTTATAAAATATGGAATTGATACAACATAGAAAGAGAAAAAAATGGATTTATTCCTGATATTGACAGGTCTAAGTGACCGCAGATTTGGCCCAAACTTTTGACACACACTTAAGGTTAATTCAGTGTAACTATATATGGCACTGAACAACATAACACTCTGCCACATACATTCATATCTGCATTGTTGAGATATATTGCATTTTCACTATAGCATTTCTCTCAGACTCCTCTGTTGCAAGGATTCCTGTGTTCTGTGCCATGTCTCTGATCCCCATTATGCAGGGTAAACACTCCCTAGATAACATCCCCTGGCCATAGCTCATAAATTCTATAGTTTCTAGTACAGAATTATAAAACAGCATGTGACAGCTTTACTCTATTCCATACTACTGTATTTTACCAGCAATTTGAAAAAAGGACCATCTATACCACATGCTCATAAGAGAGTCTGCTTTTCAGAAATCATCTCAATAAAAATTCTTGGTTCTGCAATGTTTCTTCTACAGGAAACTGAAATGAGCTCTTTTGATTTCTGATGATTTGTGATATGTAGTAGAAGCAGTTAGACTGCTAACAAACATTCATAGCAACAACACATTGGTGACTGTCAAAAAAGCAGCTCAGTGAGGATTAGAGGAAATAGAAAAAAATATTGTGTCCAGATCCACTAACGGTCTGCAATACTGCAGTGTAAAATCCAACTTTTTTGACTGAATTTGGCCTCAAGAGAAATTCGAGTTAAAACATGCACCACGTTTGGACATTTAGAGAACTCAGCTTGTGCAAAATATCGACCCACACTGCTCATCAGAGGCAAAAATTAAAACCAGGTTAAAACTGAATTAAGGGGGAAATAGAAAACTCTGTATTGTAAGAGGAGTAAAATTACCTAACATTGATACATAGTTTGATTCAATAGCTTCTTCTGTAAATGACACTTTAAAAAGGCATATTAAACTATGAGATTCAGTGGGGTGATACATTTTATTTAGAGTCTCCTGGAGTATAACATGGGTGATTATGCTCTCTTCTTGGCACCCAGAGAAACTGTGATCATACCACAAAGACCATGGTTTAACAAAGCACCTATGAATGTACCCGATTTTTAAGCAGGTCCTTAAATCTTTCTGTTCAAGGAAAACCCCTTAAGCACATGTGTACCTTTAAGTATTCTGCTGAATACAGCCCTCCCAAATCAGAGAAGCTTAGTACAATTGGTAAACTGCATCAATGAGGTCGTTTGGCACAGTTGTGCAGTGAAACTTCCTCAGCTTCCAGAAGTGGCAAATGGGACAGGCCCTGATTTTTCTAGCATTAGCTTCTATAGTTATAGAAGCAATAACTTTTATAAAAAAATGGTTGGAAAGAGAAAATGCTGTGTTGTACTAAGAGCCATATTATTTCACACCGATCAATGTTGAACACAAAAAACTTAAGAAATACATTCGCAGCTACATCAGTGCCAATTGTGGAAAGCATGTAGGAAGGGACTAGAAATGGGGAGAATCAATTGAAAAGTGCAGAGAGTTAGGACAACACTTACTGATTCTGGGTCTCTCTGCTGTTCAAGAAAAGCTGAGAATTCCACCAGTCTGAGCTTGGTTGTACCAATTGATCGGCCCTGCCAAGCGGGAACTGAAGGAGCTGGAGCTGAAGCAGGCTCAAATCCTGAAAATATAAAGGATCTTTTTTTTTTTTTTTTTTTAAGGAACATGTTGTGCAATATTTAAGTCTCCATTTCCTAAATCAGGCATGTCAAACTTGTGCGGCCCCCTGGGTCAGATCCAAACTAAAAAGCTCCTCACAGGACAGATTTGGACCCATCTCTGGTGGCAGTTTGAGCAGAGATGGCTGAACGAGTGGTGTCAGGGAGCTGTAGGGGTTAATGCAGTCAGTGCTCAACCTGCCACCAAGTGTCCACAACAGTGCTCTGTACCCCTGAACTGCGTACCAGGCCCAGCCCCTGCTCACCCTGCCTCCACTAGGAGCCCCACAGGATGGATGTTTGACACCCCTGTCCTAGATTAAATATACCCTGATGCTGCCACACACCTCTCACAAATTCAGATAGGATTTTGTATGTTCTAACTCTGCTCGGGCCTGCTATTTGTTAAAGGTAGATACCACGAAGAGATCTAGGTTACAATCTGGAAAAGTGGCAATGTAGCTGTACATTAAAGACTCTAAACTAAACCATAGCTTTTGCAATTTCTTGAGTTAGAAAGACACTGCAGAATATTTCTTTAAATCCTAACTGATTTCTGCCCTTTCACAGGCTACTAACTAAACTTCCTTGCCACAAGGCAGCACGGTCTGACAGAATACTGCCACGGGAGTCAGGAGATCAGGAGCTGGTTCACTTAGCCCTCAGCCTTCTATGTGCTCATAGGCAATATCACTTCTCTTTCTTTCTCCTCCCACTCTCTGTTGCTCTTATTTATTCAGAGTATAAGATTTTCAAGGCAGAAACCATGTGTTTGTACTACGTGTTTTTACAGAGCCTAGCAAAATGGGGTCTTGACCTCATCTAGAGCTTTCAAGCACTACCACAATACAAATAAGTCATGTGTGGAGTTGAATCGTAACCTAAAATACTTCCTTTCTCTTTACGGTGAGAATATAAAGGAAGCGATTTGACCAAAAAAAGGACACAATGTCCACCAATAAAACTGATTCATCACAAATGAAAGAGTAACTGTGCCCTCTTGGTCCTACCACTGGAAAGTCAGAAAAGGAAGATGAATGGAGCAAATGATCAGAGGACATATGTGGAATTAGGCATGTCAGGATGTAGGGATCCTCAGATTTGTAAATCTAGGAGAAAATTCTGAGTTCAGAATTGGTCAGCAAATCAGTGAAATTAAAAGAGGACTAGAAAGCATGGTCCTTCTTCCTGGAATAAGAGTCTGGTGTTATTATTCTATACCTCCAAACTTGGACAGTGGAGATTTAGGAAGCTTTTTTATATACTAAAAAAGAAGTTGGGGTGGGAAGGGAGGGGAAGGTAAGTACAAGATTGAAGACTGGAATTGTTTAACTGCAAGTGAGGATTACAGTAAAAACCATTAAGTTGATGAATGTATGCAGTGTCAATAAATGGATTTCTAGAAAGGAAATCTGGAAGAAGAAACCCTGAAAATGTGCAAAATTTCTGGTTTTGAATGCAACATTTTATAATTTAAGAAGACTTGCAAGTTTTTACTTAGAAAAATGGCTCACATCTTTCACATATACAAAATAGGAAGTTATAATACCAGAACAGCAGATAGAGGTGAGAAACAGGTAGAATAAGAAAATGTGGTGGGGGTACATTACTGAGCATCATTTGGTGAGCAAGTATTGGAATAGGCCACCTAGCAAAACTGGGAATATCCATTCTTGGAAGTTTTCAAGAGCAGGTTAGACAGACACTTGGCTGGAATGGTTTAGTCAGAGATAATCCTGCCTTGAGCAGGGGGCCTGATGAGATGACATTGCAAGATCCCTTCTAGCCCTACTTCCCTATAATCCTATTTCTTCATAAATGACACTGAGTGTAACTAGCAGTGGGAAACCATGGCAAGAGATGGTAGAGGAAAACAAGGCTTCCACCAGCCAAAGGATTGCTTGCCAGTTCTGAATAGACAGATGCTCAGGAAGCAGATGGCAATCAAGCGTATGTGGGGTATATGGATTACACCTTTGAAACTGAGCACATGTGGCTTTGGAAAAATTTTATTCCTGCCTCGAAATAGACATATTTTCCACAAGTGAAAGAAGCATGGTTGAAACTTTAAATTCTTATCTGCATCCCATTACTTACTATGTTCTTTACAGGTTGTTTTGTTGCCATAAGCTGAAATTCAATCAAGAACTATGATTTAGCACCACAGAAAATACTAGCACATATCCCAGTCCTTGGTTAAGGGAAAAGTCTCTGCTTCCCGTTTAAACAGTGAATTTTCTTCATAGTGAATCAACTGCTAGTACATTAGTGTCTGGTCAAAACACAGGAGAGTCTAGATCCCAAATATTGGGCTTTGTGTGGCACAAGAATTCATGAAACACATCCATTACTTTTCCCTATGCACTTCAGCACTACTTAGAGGGGACCATAAAATGGAAAGTTACCTGATATAGGAGCTGTGACTGATGGCTGTATAGGATAGGCCTGCTGAACGAATGGCTTTACACTGAAATAAACAAGGAAAAGAGGGAGGAATGGGAAAAGAGAAAGAAAAAAAATATAATCACATAAAATTCAATTTCCATATTATTCAGCTAGAGTCACAAAGTGTAAGGAAAAGTATTGTTGGTAGGCTTTTCTAAAGCATCCATCTCTTTCCTAAGTGTGTGTTTAAAAGACAGGCAATAAATGGATTATCTAGAGAGGAAGCAGTCTCTAGAGTAACAGCCAATATTTTAAAACAAAGAGTCTAATTCACAAGTTATTGAGCTTGACAATGTTCACTTATGTAGCACAGAATTACTGTATGACATTCTATGGCCTGTTACGTAAGGGGTCAGACTAGATGTCAGGAAGCAGCCACTGTGACCTCCTATGATTCCAGAGCATACTGCATGGAAACACTTCCACTGGCATGAGTGGACCTTGGATAAAGCCATAAAGAAAGCATTGAAAAGGTGATCTCAGGAAGGGGTACTGGGTCGGGACTGGCCATTGATGTTTACGAATGGGTCCTGGTACAAAAAAGGTTAAGAACCACTGCTCTACAGAGGATACCATGATATTGTGTTACTGGTGCACGTGTGTGCAGATCGTCTCGATTGCAAACAGGCTTGTGGGCACAAGTACATTGGGATGTTTCATTTGATTGGTGTGTTGGTTCTTGGTGCAGCTATTTGACTGTACTGAGGTCTCAAGC